TTGCTTTTACTTACACTCTAGATCAGCGCTTGTCAGCCTTTGTCGTATAGCCAGTACCCACATCCATTTATAATCATTGCGCACATCTGCCAGGGTTTTTTTAAAGGCTGAAAAGTGTCGCACCGCCCACCTGCGTCATGTACACATGGAGAAATTCCCAAGCGAGGCATTAAATACCAGCTGTCACTACCCGGGTGACCCACGCGACCTCTTGACGGGATATCGACACTTGCGCATACATTGTATTTTCCTTTTCAAGTTTCCCATAGATAGGATGCGGGCGGGCGGGCTGGTGGGTTGGTGGGCAAGCTTTTCTCATCCGGCTGGAGAGAGGGCGTGACAGCAGTGTTTCCCTGGTGACAGTCTCTCACGGCTAGGTGTTTCTATAACACATGACAGGTAGATATCTACATCCCAACTGGAACAACTGTAGATTGTCCTACCGTAGAAAACTGCATCTCCCGTCGACGCGGCTTACCAGCAACAGAGGATGGTAAAGAAAAAGAAGGAAAAGTACCGGTAATTGAATATTTTCATTTTTCAACCTTTCAGTTGCTCGGGAATTAAGCAAGGGGGGTGGGGGTGGTTGGAGAGTCTGGTATTTAACTGTTGATCAAGAGGAGCCACACCAGAGCACCTGCCAACCTCCCTCGATGTGTGCTGAAATGCTGCAGCAAACCTAGTCGTAAAGACAGTGAAAACAGACGTGTGTACTACTGCGCCCCCACCACTCCCTACAGGAGAAGAAATCTTAACTTGGAGCACCTTTTTCTGTCCAGGGCTGAGTTTTAGAGCTCTAAAAAATCTGTTACACGCCCAAATCCTGCAGTGGGACTCAAACTCAAACCTCTTCGTGGGTGTCTGGTGGGTGCTCTTGTGTGGTTTCCTCCATCTTAACAATCAAACATCTATGGTCCTTATCTTTTCTCCTTCTTTTCTGTGTATGTTATTTTAATATTGATACTCTCTAGCACTAGCACCGTGACACCTCTGATCTTCGGCACTTGAACGACCTCCTTGTGTTGCAAGTGCCGTAAAACTCCCCTAAGTAAGAGTTTTACGGCACTTGCAAAACAATAAGGTCATAAAAGTGCAGAAGATTAGAGGTGTTACAAGAGAGTAACAAACACACAAAAAATGAAGCAGGAGAGATAAGGACGATAGACGTTTGATAGGAAAGAAGGAGCAAACCACACCAGAGCACCCGCCAACCACCCACGAACTGCACTAAAAAGAGAAAAGTTAATAAAAATGAACCTTTTCATCACAGGCTAGCAAACATCCACCTCTCATATCAACACCACCACCACCCCTTCCCCCACAACCAGACTCAAGAAGCTGTCACAGGTCGACAAAATGTCGAAGAGCCATGATATTATTTTCTTTGTTTGTTTGTCTCGTAACATTTCATCCTGCAACCTTCGCGGATGCAAAGCCGCTAACTTCAGTGTCAATGGATTTTTTTTTTATCGCCAATGTCACTCTGTCTCTGTCCTTGTTGACCTCTCTTCTTGACACACCCTGACACATGCAGGTGGTTGGAGAGCGCCACTGGCAGGTCCTATTTCTGTCAATTCCTTCTGTTGTTTCTGTCTGTGTGGGTGGTTGGAGAGTGCCACTGGCAGGTCTTATTTCTTTGATCATTTCCCTCTGTTGTTTCTGTCTGTGTGGGTGGTTGGAGTGGAGAGTGCCACTGGCAGGTCTTATTTCTTTGATCATTTCCCTCTGTTGTTTCTGTCTGTGTGGGTGTTTGGAGTGGAGAGTGCCACTGGCAGGTCTTATTTCTTTGATCATTTTCCTCTGTTGTTTCTGTCTGTGTGGGTGGTTGGAGTGGAGAGCGCCACTGGAAGGTCTTATTTCTTTGATCATTTCCCTCTGTTGTTTCTGTCTGTGTGGGTGGTTGGAGTGGAGAGTGCCACTGGCAGGTCTTATTTCTTTGATCATTTCCCTCTGTTGTTTCTGTCTGCGCCGGTGGTTAGAAGGCACCACTGGCAGGTGGGTCCCATTTCTTTAAATTTAAATTCCCTCTGTTTGTTTCTGTGACTAACTTTTCTCCCAGCACTAAACGACCACTATTGTGTTGATGTGCAGCACTTTACTCAGACAAACAAAACACCCTGACACTCAAGATGCATTGAGTAAAAAAGAAAAAACCTCAGAGAGCGATGGAGCGAGTGAGAGAGACAAAGAGACAGAGAGAGAGAGAGAGAGAGAGAGAGAGAGAGAGAGAGAGAGAGAGAGAGAAGGAGAGGGTAGAGAATCAGAAGAGAAGAAGAACTCTCACACTGACAAACAAACAAAGCAAAAGATGGAATTGTAGAATTAGACAGAATGATACAGAGAAGAAAGAACATATGGTACACTGGACATACACAGACAATAAACTATAGTGAACAATATAAAAACAAAGAAAGTGTGAACATTTCATCATCATTTTAATGAATCTGTACTGGCATCAAAATTATGACATTCTACAAATCAGAAAAAGCTTCAATTAAACTGACACTAAAAAAGTCAACAAAGGCAAATATCTCTAGGGTGTTTCAAAAATTTTAAATCCTGTACAGTTTAGCGACAAACTATTGATGTACATCACTGAGATCTACATAAGGCATGATGCTGTTCCAAGATGTTACCATTTACTAGATACATATTTTATTGACAAAGTCCCAAAAGCCACACCTGTAGGGAGATTCACATTTCCCAAACTGTAGCTACTAACTATCCTTGGCTTTAAATCTTAGTCTAGTACCGTATTTTAAATGCACCTAAAATGAGAATGCAATATAAACAATGAATGAAGTAGAGCCTCTGATAAATCACACTATCATTTCTACTTGATGTTTTTCTGGGTTGACAAGAATCATCTAAGGAACAAACTAACAAAAACTTTAAAAACCTACAGAATGCAACAATTTCATTCACTTAAAAATCACAGAATATTGCTCTATGAAACAACAAAATGTAATTCTAAGCAATCTACAAAATGTAAGATAAGAAACCAGCTCTGACAATATAAACCTATAACAGATACAATCATGTCCACAACTTCAGGTGGTATTCATTATGCAAATGTGAGCGTTCCCATGCATGACTTTGTGTGCATCTCACTTCAGTAGAGCGTTTGTGACTCTCGGAACGTTTGCGGCTCTCGGAACACTTGCAGCTCTCAGAGTTGTGAAGACACCGTGATCGTCTTGTGGGACGGGCTGGACAGGTTCTTGCAGTGTGCACGCTCATAAACATAGGCCTACATAACAAACGTACACATCTTCTCCACGGGGCAAGACATAACATTATGTTTGGACAGTCACGGCATCTTTGATCTCACGTCCACACCAGTCAGTCCTGGCACACTGAATTGGTTGACCTGTTTCTGAGACCTGAAATAGGAGTGGACCATGTGGCTATGCTTGACCAAACTTGACCGGAGCAAAAACCTGTACAGTTCCCCACAAACTCCAACTTAAACTTGCAATTCACCAAACTGGCATACTGGATCCTGGCAGGACAGTGCACTTGGCAGTGTCAAATCTGGACATACAAACGGTGGTTGTGAAGTCCAAATCTGGACACATGTATGACTGCTGTGTGAGCCAAACCTGGACACACACATACATGAACACGGTGCTTTCTTTTTAGGGGCGCCGACCTGCGCTGGATCACTTGACGGTGAGCGACCTGTGCCGGACAAGAGCGGCGGCGGCCGCGCGCATGGGTGGGCTTCCATGACGTTTTATGAGAGATGTTTAGATCTAGAACAATGGGAACCTCGATCAATCCGGCAGCTGTATGACGGGCTTGGGCAGGATGTCTCTGGCCATGATGACGTCATGATAGCCGCAGACGAACTCGTCAGCCTCGCTCTGGCCATCCACGGGTGACTCGACGAGGAGACATGACACGTAACTCTCCTGGCTCTCTCCGTTAGGCGTCACAAGCTCAGTCAGTCGTTGCTCGTCTTTGACCTGAGAAATACAGAATAAAAAACAAACATAAGAACCAAAGACAAGGAGGGAAATTAAAAAATAAACTTTATGAACCAAAGACAACGATTGAAATAAAAAATAAATAAACTTTAACTTTAAGAACCAAAAAAACAGCAAAAAAATATTATGTGCACCTTTTTCTTTACTGCAAGTTTTGTATGTTCTTATAGTGTCAACTTTTCATTATATCCGTGCAACATACATGATGACAATGTACATTTTACAAACAGCTGATGGCTACTAAGAAATGTCACATGACAGAGAAAAGGGGAGGAAAGGAAAAGATGTCAAGAGCCTGAGGGGAGAAGGAAAGAAGGGGGTGGGTTGGGGGGGGGGGCAAAAAGCAGAAGGTCAAGAGGAAATGTCACAAGACGAGGGAAAACGGACGTGAGTGTGACCAAGAGTCATGGCGAACAAGGATGTAGCGATATCGAGAAAGCTGTTGGTTCTTCTCACTTCCCACACAAAGCAAAGGTGTGACTGGTTGATGACAACAGCGAGAAAGGACGACAGTGATTGGTTCTCAGCAGCAGAGAGGGAGGTCGTGATTGGTCAGAATCTCTTGTTGACACTTACCGTGAGCAGACGGATGTCGTTTTCCTTGCAGAAGGAGCGGATGAGGACATGCTCTATGTGCACAGCGACGTCATGTTGCCTCACTTCCGGAAGTATACATAGCATCACACGGCCCGGACGGCTGGAAAGACAGAAGGAGGAATACACTGGTTAGTGTCATGTTGGGGGGAACTTAGTACAGTATTAATGTTGTGGTAATGTGCATTACGTAATTTTTACAAAGTAGAGAGAGAGAGAGAGAGAGAGAGAGAGAGAGAGAGAGAGAGAGAGAGAGAGAGAGAGAGAGAGAGAGAGAGAGAGAGAGAGATGAGCATGTGTGAATGTGTATGCATGACAACATACGTATGACTATATGACTAAAGACCGCATTGCAATAAAATGAAAACATTAAACACTTTTGGCAAGGTGCTCAACTAGCGCGCTCTCTCTCTCTCT